CAGGACGACTCATCTTGAGTTCAAATTTGGCCTCAGACATTTACTAGTTGTGTGACCCTAGACAAGTCACTTAACCCTATTTTACCTCAGTTCCTCATCTGTAAAATGAGCTGGAGAAGGAAATGGCAAACCACTCCAAGTATCTTTGCCAAGAAAACCTCAAAATGAGGTCATGAAGAGTAGAATGTGACTGAAATGACCGAACACAACTAGATTTAGAGACACAGGCCACAGGAGTTGGAACAAAGCCGGGATCCACGCCTCAGCCAAACAATCTTCCTCAATGTCTGTTTCTCAAATAGGAGAAAGGTAACCCAGTGTTGGAAGAATCCCTTGGAATTCTGTTGAAGAAACTCCCATGACCTCATTCTTGCCTGCAAGAACCAATGTGGGGAAGGAACCAATGGTGGGAAGTACTTGGGGACTCAAGAATGCTTAAGGCAACAGAAATCCACAGATTCACAAAAGAAAAATTTCATGAAAGGCACTGATGCAGGCAAAGGGCACCATGGATAATAGAGGAACCTTATTACTAATCAGTTGCTTTAAGGGCACAGAAGCAGAGGAAGGGAAGCTAAGGATCCCCTGTGTCATGTCTTCTTGAAGCAATAATGGCTGCCCTCTTGGTAAAAGATGGGCAGGTACCATAATAGGTCCTGTAATCTTCCTCCTCTCATTCTCCAAAACTGTTTGCAAATGGGGCTCATTGCCCCATTTACAGGATCATAAGATCACAGATCTAATAGATCTAGAAGGGACCACAGAGGCCATCTGGTCCAACCTCCTCATTTTTTTTTTAACCTCATTTTACAGATGAAGAAACTGAGTTCCAGGGAGATTAAGCCCAAGGTCATAAAGGCAGTAAACATCAGAATGGGGGTTTGAACCTAGCCACCTGCTCCACTCCAGAGTCAGCACCCCTTCCATTCCAACACACATTCCCCCCTTCGTCCTTTCTGAAAGTCCTTCCCAAGGGTCTGGGATGCAATTAATTGTCCCTCCATTGTGACTTAGACCTCCACAGTCCGTTTTTATTAAATAATAGTATCTGGGATTTAGATGGTGCTTCTTAATGTCTGCAAAGCACGGAGCATATGTTGTCTCATGAGACGTACATCACAACCCTGTGAGGTAGGTATTACCAGCATTAATCTCTCCCTTTTTACAGATGAGAAAACTGAGGATCAGAGAGGTAGAGGGACTTGTCCAGTGTCATATAGCTACTAAGGGTCAGCAGATGAACTCAGATCTTCCTAAGTCCTTCATTCTTTCCACTAGAGACCGCCTATCTACAATAAACTCCATGAATCAAAGTCTTTGTTGGGGTATGACAAGGGGTGGCTTGGTTTGCTGCATGCCACCAAGTTGTTCCTTTTAAGTACTGATGAGTGGGAAATTTAAAAGAGATGCATTTAACAATAACTAAAATTGCATAATGGGGTAAAGCAAAGGTAATAACACCACTTTAGGTTATACACCATCTTTTCATCCAAAACACACACACTGACTAATCAATGTCACCTCCTCTTTATTAGCAGTGAAGGGACAAAAGTTCCAATGGCTTGCTTAAGATCATCCAATGAGTCAGAGGCAAGCCTGGGGCAAGGCCACAGTGTCTCACACTGCAGCCACAGGGCCATGATGGCTCTTGCTTCCCATTCTTCTCCAGTTGTCCTTGGAAACTTCCCTGAGCTTCTCTTCCCTCTCCTCTGTCTTGTTTCCTCTTCCTTTCACCTTCTGGGAGGGGAGGGGCTGCACAGAGGGAGTTTTCAAGCTGTGCCATGGGAGGAGCCATTTGTAAGCCCACCAAGCCCGAAAGCAGGGACCATATGCTGCTGCCTCTCATCTTCTTTAGCCTGAGCATCCTTCAAAAGTGCCCCAATTGAATGGCTTGCAGTGTCCCAAGTCACTTGGAGGCTACCATGAAGAGTGTGGAAAAGAAACACTGGACTGACTTAGGAGTCCAGAAGACACAGGCTCTGGTCCTGCCTCAGACACTTACTGGCTGTGTGACCTTGGACAAGTCACTTAACTCCAATTGCCCCCCCCCAAAAAAGAGTCTATTATGTACTGACTGGCATTGGTAGAGGGAATTTCCTCTACCAATGGAATCGTAAGTCCAGCTCCAAACCAAATCCTACTATGTGTCAAACACTGTGCTGTGCACTAATCCAGGCTGAATGAAAACTAGTGATGCACGAGATGGCAGGAACCTTCTGCCTGGAATATGGATTGGGAATCAATTAGGGTTTTTTTTAACCTTACTTTCTTTAACCTGTTAACTGCAGTTCTGTCAATACCAAGTTGAGAAGAGGCCTAACAGCACATCCTATGGGTGCTCAGAATGGCAAATCAAATTAAAAAACAAGCATTCCCCACTGTCACTGAGACTGCCTTATTAATGTTGAGAAATGAAAGTGAGGTTCATTGAGGAGCAGCCACTAGTCTCAGAGTCAGGAAGACATGGGTTCAAGTCTTACTCCAGAAGCTTACTAGTTATGTGATCCTGGGCAAGTCTCATGCCTCAGTCTGCTCATTTGTCAAATGAAGAGGTTGAAGCTGATGGCTCTCAGGTCCTTTCCAGCTCTAAATCTACAATCCAGACATGGCAGCAAGCCCCATTCCCACTAACTCTCACTGATGTCATGTTTTAAAGTCTGCAATTTCCCTCACAACAATTCCATAAAGGGGAAGGTTCAGGGATTCTAAGCCCCACTATATAAAGGCTCAAAGAGATTAAGCCACTTGTCTGTAGTGACACGGCTAGTAAGGAAGAATTTGAACCCAGGTCTCCTGGGTCCAGTGCTCCATCCACCCCACCCCACCCCATATCATAAGATCAGACTCGAGCCTGCCTGGGGTTCAAATTCCTGAAGAACATTTCTCAGGAGTTTGCTTTCTATGAGGCTGCCCTTCTCGTGATGTGGTAACCCAGAGCTCCAGCAAAAGGGGCTAAGAGCCAGGCAGTGCATGAGGCTTTAACTTAAGTTGATATGGAAGAGGGGGAGAAATGTGAAGGAACCCCACAGGAGGTAAGAAAGAGCAACGTCATGAATCATTGGGACTGAAAAGGAAAAGATACCAATGGGTAAGACAGAACAAATATAAGGAAGCTGACGAGCCCCAAAATGACTGGCTGTTAAGCTTTCCTCTTTTAGTAGGAACTGACTCACTTTGTCTTTCTGCAAAGTCATGTAGGAGGGAAGAGGAGGGAAAGAAATTTGGGAAAAAAACCAAATACCTCTAAGATGATATGTAGAGAGAATTTTTATAAGTTAAAATTTTCATGGAGGCTCTCTTGGTCACAGATAGAATCTATCAAATTCCTAGCTTGCTCCCGTGGAGGGAGCAGAATCAAGTCACCCTCCACGTGACAGAGTAGGCCTTAATTCAAAATGAAAAAGTAACTTAGGATTCAAAAAGGATCCTTGGGTTAGAGCTGGTCATCTAGCTCAACTGCATATTTATTTACCTTGTATGTGTTTTATATTTTCTCATCTGTTTTTATGTTACAAACCTTCCCCCTCTTTTCTAATAGAATGGAAATTCCTCAAGGATTGTTTTGCCCCTGGTTCTCTACAAAACCTAATGCCAGGCAAACAGTAGGCCTCTAACAAATGCCTGTTGATTGATAGATTGGGTGACGTTGTCTCCTTCAAGAAGATCTAACTATCTTGAGAGCAGGCACCCTTGTGTCCCCAACATCTAGCAGAATGCCTTGGGTATAACCTAAAGGGTTGTTGAATTGAACTCCTAGAGGTGAGAAAACCAAGGCCTGGAAAGCTTAAGTGATCTGCCCAAGGTCACACAGATAGTCAGTGATGGGAATGATAACTTCAAATCCATTGGCCTACCCTGCTGCTCCTTCCCACTTAAGGAGTAGCTTTGAAGGAAATACGTAAAAGAATGTTCACAAAAAGTAAAGGAAACTGGAGATTGGGGACTGGGGAATTCAGGTCCTTGTTACTTATCCACTGTATGCTGCTGGATTCTGGACTGCTGGGGAAGAGCACACTGACCTTTGCAGGTTTTTTGAATATGCAATTAATCATGGAAGGGCAGGGAAAGAAAAGGGACAGTATCTCCCAGTCTTAAGAGCCCTTTGACATTCATGGTTTAAGTTACCAAAAAAGGGCAGAAATGAATCATAGATAATTAGGGCAAGAACTATGGAGATGCAAGCATAGGAGTGCAGAAAATTCAACAGTACTGAGCAAAGAGAAAACCAAAATCTTCCTTCCTGCACACTCAACTCCTGCAGATTGCTAACCTTCCTACTCTTTCCTCTGGCAAATTTTAGGCTGATCAAGCTCAGATTTGCCAAGGGAATACTCATGACAGCCAGGGGCTATCATCATTAAAATCTTAAAGTTTTAACACTGTTCTTCTTTGTCCCCAAGAAGGCTATGAAGGCCATGCCACACAGACAGGTCTGTTCCCCTGGAGGCTCCTCTCAGCCAAGAAGAAGACCACACAATTGGAGATATAGGGGGTTTCAAACCCTCTGCATAGGATGACTAGCCCCACCTTTATCGATGCCTTATCAGCCAATTTAAGGCAGCCAAAAGAATGTTGGATTTGAAATTGGAGCCCCTGGGTTTGAATTCCAACTCTCTGACTTCCCACCTGCATGACTTCAGGCAAGTCACTGTAAAGAGCCAACATGGCTAAGTTCACAGTAGCTGGCCCCATCACCATCCAGGTGGTTATTTGGCCACTGGGTGGTGAATCTTTTTGACCACAGATACTCATAAAGATTTTCCACTAAGGAGGAAAAGGGCTGCAATCGGTGTTGATGGAGGGAGTGCCCACACTGATGAAATTATGAATCCCTAAAATAATGCAAAGTTGTAATTTAGGCGAATTAGCAAGAGAGACCTGTTCTGGGTCTCAGTTTCCTCATGTGGAAGACGTGAGGGTCAGATCAGATGATCTCTAGGGTCTCTTTCATCTCTAAATCTATAATCACAGGATTTTGACCAGAGCTTTCCCAAACTCACCATGTAAAATGTCTGAGTCATCCTCAACAAAATCAATGTCTCTCAAGTCCCATTCTGCGTAATTGTCAAACTCCTGTGAAAAGAAACACAAATGCCCCAGCCCAGCCCCATGCACTTGAGTTAATCACTGAAGTTTGGACATGATCCCAAAGGAGACAGTATTCAGTGGGGCACCTACTGCAAGACACTCTACATGACAAGAGGCCAGGATATCCTTCTTTTAAGTAATTAATAGTAAAGTGGAGGGAATCTGGGGATGGGGTGGAGGACTTATCCAGTAGAAAAACACTTAACAGTGGTAGCATAAAAGTGACTACTTCTGAGAATTCCAAAGGAAACAATCAAGAGAAGCCAAACATAGGCTAGTTTAGTTTCTTTTTTTTGGGGGGGGTGAGGCAATTGGGGTTAAGTGACTTGCCCAGGGTCTCACAGCTAGTAAGTGTCATGTGTCTGAGACTGGATTTGAACTCAGGTCCTCCTGAATCCAGGGCCAGTGCTCTATCCACTTCACCACCTAGCTGCCCCTCAGTTTAGTTTCAAAAACAAAACTGAAGCCCACATCCTCCAGTAAACCCCCAGGATGCTAAATGCCATGGCAAAAATGTCAGCTGTAATTCATTCCCTGAAAGCTGTATTCCTCTGTAATACTATGTGTTGACAATGGACATAAAAGGCAGCACTAGCTGTGTCAGTGGGTTGGTCCACAAGATGAATGCACATGAGTGGCAAGTGTGGTTAAGTGCAATCATAAGCCACAGATGCAAAGGGAACTCCTGAGGCCAGAGCCAGTTCATAACAGGTCAATAAATTTTAAGAAGAAATCTGCAAGGTTGCTCCACATGAAAGTCTTACTTGGAGATCTCAACACAGATTGAAGGGGATCCCAAGGTCTCAAAGACTATTCCAGGGGAACTTTCATTCTGGCAGGTCTCATCATGCTGGAACAACTTAAATACAGGTCCAGCTGCAGGTTGTATGTGTGTGTGTGTGTGTGTGTGTGTGTGTCTCTCTCTCTCTCTGTGTCTCTGTGTGTGATCCAAGAGTCAGCCAGGCCAAGTTCACAGTGTCTGGCCCTATCGCCATCCAGGTAACTGCAATTGGTTGTTTGGCCATTGGGTGGTGAATCTTTTTCATCACAGATACTGTTAAAAATTTTCCTCTAAGGAGAAAATGATTGCAATCTGTAGTGGTAGAAGGAGTGCTCACAATGATAATATCATGAATCCCTAAAGTAATGCAAGGTTATAATCTAGGTGAATTAGCAAAATGGCAACATCATGATTTGCTAGGCCCCCATCACCTCCGTAATCCCTGAGTTACGTTGAAATTCATTCTTGGATACAGTTTTTATGCACATTCTTTTTTTCTTCTTTTTGGACCTGGCCTGTGATTTAATTGGCATGGAGAACTCTCAATGAAGAAACTCCTTCATACATTTCAGATCAGTACATCCTGCCATTTATTGTCTCAGAGAGTTGCCAAGGCCACTGAAAAGTCACGTGACCTTCCCAGAATAACACAGCCAGCAGTATCAGAAGTGGGCCCTGAACTTTCTAGCCAGCTTTCCATCTATCATATATCATATCTATCTGGTCTGGTCTTCCTATCCAGCTCTCCATATGTCTGTCATTCTGCCCCTGCTTAGCATAGAGCAGGCCTTTAGGAAATGCTTACTGAACTGAATTAGTATGAGAACAACAAGTACTCCTACTACCACATAAATGAGGTAATGAAAAGGGGGATGGCGAGCCTATACTTCCCAATGGTCCTTTTGGCCCACTGAACCTCCAATACTTAGATGTAAAAATGTATCCCCCCAGGCTACTTGATGACAGCCCATTTTCAGTCCTACCCAACTCCCAGGTTTGAAGTCAAAGTCCTCAACAGAAGCAAACCCAGTCTTTGTGCCCAAAGAAAGAGTCAAGTTTCCCTACCTCAATGAAGTCTGCTCGGGCTGGCATGTACCCTGCCATGTCCCGGGAAAGCAGTGAATCAAAGGCAGGCCTTGGAGGATCATCTGTAGCTGGAAGAGTTTGGAGTTTCATATTAAAAAAACACACACATACACACAAAAAGGAAAACGAAAAGAAATTCAGAAGGGGACACAAAAAGGGCAATTTTCTTACTACTTTGTTAAATGTAATACACAATTTAAAAAACTACATAATAGAAATTCACAATTTCCTCTACAATGCTCTTTAAAAATTTTTTTTAACTTTTTAGTGCCAAATTCTTTCCCTCCTTCCATCTCCTCCTCCACCCATTGAAAAGGTAAGATACAATCCTCTTTTTTGAGTTTTTCTATGTATATCAAAATATTGATTGTTAATTGATTGTTATTGTCTGTTAATTGTATAATTAACAGGGATTGGGACTGTGATTTCATTAGCAAAAGGAACTCCTGAATGAGGAAATTCCCCCCACCAATCCCAGTTGCACCTTCTCCAAAATGTATAGTTTTAGAGAGCTACCAAAAGCACTGAGAGGTTACTGTCTTGCCCTGGGTGACACAGTCACCTTGTCACAGGGTGACACAAGGGGACTTGAACCCAGTCAGAATTTAGGGTTTTACTCAATCACTTAACAAAACAGTGACATGAAGAAGCAACACAAATAGTAACATAACACCAAGAAGGGATGGACAAGAGAGGATCAATAAAAGCTCAAGGATAAATGTCAGAATAAAGAATCCAGATGCTCCTCCTCACCCCAACGACTTCAACACAGTAATGTTGTTTTAATTCAATGCATTTTAAACATCCTTTAGTGAATCCCCTTAGGAAACTTGGGAAGAGTCCCTATGAATTTTTCGTTTACACACTGAACGTGAGGAAGAAGGTTTTCATAATATTCCCCAGACCCAAGTATTCACTCTTCTTCCTGATGTCCCTCACTCCCTGGAACAATTCTCAATTTACTGATCTCAGATGAATATTATTGGATTTCCTTTTTGTTCCCAATTGATTATAAAACTCTGAATCAGACAGCTGTAAAGCTACGGCTAGGGCAATTTGAGGTTAGGAGTAGAGGTGTGGTGGGGGAGAGAAAAGCACTGGTATCTTGTTACTCCTGTGCTTTGGACCATTCAGAAGCAACGCCCATTCATAATTCATCATGTTTTTAGTTGTGCTTATAAAAGGGCCCAGGAGTCCCTCAGCCACAACAAACTAAAAACACATTTTAAAGAAGGGCCACCATTACTGGTACTGACAATAACAACGCATTGCTACATAGCTTTCATATTGGATGATTAATAATCAAACACAGTGCACGTCTATAATGTGTCTCTCAACATAGACTCTGCAGGGGACACACCAACAGTCTCGTCCTCGTGACGGCCCAGTGAGGTGGGTCACTTTTTTTTTTCAGGTCTCATCTTACGGATGCAAGGACTGAAGTTAATTGATACACCTGACGGGGTTCAATGAGTAGGTGTGGAAGGGCAAACAGGACTTGGGCACCCAGTCTTCCAACCCAGCATCTGTCCACAGGGATGGGTCCCCTCCCTGCCACCTCATGGTATCGGTTCTCAGCAACTGCCCTGGCCAACTCCACCTGTCTCTTTCACCAGGCTGGAGCAGTCAGTCGTCTGGCTGTCATTATCTGCAATTGTCAAAGAGCAGGCTCTGGGACGAGCCCAGTCCTTTACAACAGCAGGCAGGCACTTACACTGGAATGGAATGGCTGTGTCAGCAGTTTTCGCCTCCTCTGCTTGCTTGAGGTTGAGCAGGGTAGAAGCAAAAAGAGGGTTGTTGATGAAATGTTTCATGTAGTGTTTCTCACACTCTTCCTTGGTCTTGGTGCACATCTGATTGGCCACATCCTGCCTAGAGGGAGGAGGGGGGGAAAGTGTATGTGGGAGGATGGGTGAAGATTTCATTTATGGGTAACTTTAAGAAGCACAGTCTGCTCTTGCCTTATTTAAAGTTGTACCCATCAGAGATCTGAAATCTGACACCAGCAGCCCCAAACTGGCATCCAAGAGGCAGCAGTAGACAAATGAGACAGGTACACACCTGGTCTGAATCTACCTTGACCTCTGAAATTCAGTCAGCCTGAGAAATACAAGGGAGGACTAGAAGTCTTCACTTTACTACCTGTTATAGAAGGTTACTATGCCTGGCCCTAAAAATCTGTGACTGGGGCAGCTCGGTGGCACAATGGATAGACTGTGGCCTTGGAGTCAGAAGGACCTGAGTTCAAATCTGGCCTCGGGCACTTGACACTTACTAGCTGTGTGACCCTGAGCCAGTCACTTAACCCCAATTGCCTCACCAAAAAAAAAAAGGAAAAAGAAAAAAAAAATCTGTGACCAATGATTTACCATCAAGGAAAGGATCACTACCTAAAGATGGACAGCTCTGCTGTCTTGGGCTTTGCTTTTTACTGCATTGGGAGGAAAGGGATATGGAAATCTTACTCCATTTCATTTGGGACTGCATTGGGGTGGAGGATATGAAAAGAGATGAAGAGAGGACTAACTCAAACCCTTTTTGAAGGAGGAGAGAAAATATAAAGGACCAGGCCAAAGCCAGCCAGTAAGATTCTTGAGAACAGATATCACTTTGTTTCTCCCACCATTCCTAGTACAATACAAGGCCCACAAGGGAAGCCCAGTAGAATATAAACTCTTTGAGGACAAAGACATTTTCACTTTTGTCTGTATATCACCAATACCTCCTAGAACATTGTCTGGCTCACACTCAGCATTTAGTAAATGCTTATTGAATTGAATGGGCACTTGATAAAAAAAAATTGTGGAATAAATGAATTTTAGAAAAAAGAAGAAGCTGGGTGAACTATTGCAAAGCCTTCAGCCTCCTACTTCTGTCCTTTAGACATTATAAACGGAGACAGCATAGAAGAAATAGAAGCCAGGAGATCAGGATTGCCTGACCACCAGATATATGACCTTGGCCATTTTATTTCTCTCTTGTCAACCTCCATTCCCTCACTGGTAAAATGGGACCATAATATACCTGTCTACCTACTTCTCAGGGGTATCATGAGGACAGAATGAAACTACGTATAGAAAAGTACTTTGAAAAAGCATGAAGCCCTAGGCCAGCTACAAGTATGCACTTAATGTCTCAAGACAAAAACCTTGCATGCTAGACAGTTCTGCCCAGCACAATCCAGGACCATAGCTTGACAGAGGGGGAAAAATTTTAAATTCAAGTAGGGAGTTTGTGGAAATTGAATCACCAAAATGGGAAAGATCTACCCCAAGGGCCTGACTCCCTGAAATGAGATTCAGCCTTGGTACAGCATAGCAGTTGTAAAAGCAGACAGAAAAAATGACCTGCCTGAGAAAATGAAACTTCCCTTATGTTCAGAAAGGAAAAACCAATGCTTTTGGTAAGGATGTAACCATGTAGATTTTGTGTAGATCCCCTAAGCATGCCAATGTACTTCTGTAAGTTCATCCATCATCGAGGCACAGAAGGAAACTAGAATAGTAGTAGTGGTAATAATAATAAAAACAACAGTAACAACAACAATAGCTATTATGTATACAGAATTTTAAGGTTTGCTAAGTATTTTTACATATGTTATCTCATTTCATCCTTACAACAACCCTGCGAGGTGGTTGTTGTTATTGTTTAGTTGTATCTGACCCTGTGGACCATACTGTCCACGTGGTTTTCTCGGCAGATGTTGGAGTGGTTTGTGATTTCCTTCTACGGTGGATTAAGGCAAACGAGATTAAGTGACACACACAACTAGGTAGGTGCTATTATCACCCCTATGTTAGAGATGAAAAAATTGAGAAGGAGAGAGGTCAAATGAGTGCCCAGGGTCACAACAGCTTGTAAGTATCTGAGGCAGAATTTGAATTTTGGTCTTTCCGACTCCCAAGCTAGTGCTCTCTCTACTGTACCACCTAGCGGCCACAGGCACAGAGGCCAGAGCAGAGCTCCAAGCAGCCATAAGATGGCTTCCAGGACTCCTCCTGAAGGCCCTGTCTATCCAGTGGCAACTGCTCTCCTACGACATGATGAGGAAAACATCATCCACAGCAGGGCAAGTCAGTGGGAAAACTCTTACCAGTTTCCAAAGCCACAGTCCATCACAGCTTCCAGAAGGGCCATTTCCTCTTGAGCAGTCCAGCTGGGATCAAGGACAGGAAAGTCTGAGGTCTGAAGGAAAAGTGATTTTACAAAAATCAATTAACTACAAATAATGGTAGAAATGGGTCCTGGTAACTCTGACCACTATTTCTGGTCTCTTTGAATGATTTGCATCATAATGGTGCCAAGAGGTCCCTGAACTGAATTCCTATAAGTTGTCAGCCTCCCCACCTCCATTTCCCCAGTATAAAAGCCTCTCTAAGAAACATCATGACCTGACAAAAGATGGGAATAGACAGTGCTGGAGGGAGTATGGAAAGGAGCTGTGAACTGGTCTGGCCATTCTAGAATTCAATCTGGCCTTATGCAAAGAAGGAGACTAAACTGTCCATTCTGTTTGACTCAGAGATCCTACTATTGGGAAATTTGCCCCAAGGAGGTCATCAATCTGAAGAAATTCCCATATACACCAAAATATTTACAGTAGCATTTTTTGTAATAGTGAAGAACCGGAAACAAAGTAAATGCTCATAGATTAGGGAATGGCTAAACCAATGAATATAATGAATATAATTTAGCCATAAAAAATTATGAATATGAGGACCACAGAGAAGCCTGAAAAGATGAACTGATGCAAGGTGAAATAAAGGGGATCAGGGAAATAATATGCACAATGACTATAATGGTGTAAATGGAAAGAATAAAAATAAAACAATTGAAATTGAGCTCTTTAAAATGATAACAGCCAAGCTTGGTCCCAAAAAAGAGATGAGAAAATGCATCTCTGTTCCTTCTTTGAAGAGGTGAGCAACTATGGGTGTGGAACACTGTTCTTTCTATACAACATCCTAAGTCATACTTGGCCAATGTGTTGGTTAATTTTGTTGAATTGGTTTTTTTTTAATTTTTCTTCCTTGTTAGAAGGGTTGGCTCTCTGGGACAGGCAGGGAAGAAGAGACATATTGTCAAATGTAGGGGATTAAAAAAAAAGTATCAGTAAAATTATTTTACGGTATAAAAAAATTATCAGCCACCATTGCTGGGTAAGGAACAGAAACATTAAAATACCTGTCACGAGAAACCCTCTGAATGTCTAAGCACATGTGTATGTGCTTTTCATAATAAATATTCCTTTGAGAGTTTACTGCTATTATAACTATCGTTAATGAGGACTTACTAGGGGCCTAACACTGTTAGGAACTAGGCAGTACAAAAGAAACACGACATAGTCCCTGCACACCAGGAGGCCAAAAGTAACTACTACCAATCTGAAGGACTAGGACACTTAAATACAGCATGTCATATACCTACTGAAAGATCCTGAGAACAATGAAAAGTGTTTCTATCACTGTCAACCTTTGAGCACAATAGAAAATCAAATAGATTTAGAGGGCTTTAAAAGTTTGCAAAGTGGTTTCCTTATAACCACCTTGAGAAGACTAGAAGTATCTAAGCTGGGATTCAGACCCAGGTCCTTGCCTGATTACACGTGCAGCTTACTCTTTCTACTACAACATGTTGAATCCCAAAGGACTTAAAGATTACTCCAGCAGTCCTCATTTGCAAAATGAGGCAAATAGGCAATAATGAACATCTTGTTAGTTGTGGAAGGAGCTACTCAAGAATGTAATAATCAAATGACAAAAAGGTGTATAGCCTGTGGGGTTTCTGATTCATGCTCCATCTGCCACAGCACAAATAACTTGTTAATATGAAGCTAAGATATTATTTAGATCCCCTCCTCCTCCCAAAATTTTTTAACATGATCTGAAATCTCCTATATGGAAAATCAATAATCTTTATTACTGTAGAAAATAAAATCTGGAAAAAGGTGATAAAATCAATGGGAAAATTCCCCATCTGAATGGAGAGGCTAGAAATGCATAAATTCTTTTTTTTTTCTCCCCCCCCACCCTCCCCAAGACGGCACACAATCTGATATAGGCTTTACATTTACATATCCATTAAACATATTTTCACATTAGTGAAGTTGTAAGTAAAAATTAAAATCAATAGGAGGAACCATCAGAAAGATGAAACAAAACTCAACAGAAGATAAAAATAAGTGATAGCAATTTGACTTCCATAGTTCTTTCTTTGGATGTGGACAGCATTTTCCATCCTGAGGCCTCTGGAGATGTCTTAGATCCTCGTAATGCTGAGAAGGGTTCAGTTTAACAATCTTAGTCACTGCATAACGTGGCTGTTATTGTGTACAGAGTCCTCTTGGTTCTGCTCACTTCACTCAGCATCAGACCATATAAGTCTTTCCAGGTTTTTCTGAAGTCAGCCTGTTCATCATTTCTTATAGCACAATAGTATTCCATTACATTCATATACCACAACTTGGTCAGCCATTCCCCAATTGATGGGCATCCTCTCGATTTCCAATTCTTTGCCACCACAAAAAGAGCTGCTATGAATATTTTTGTACATGTGGGTCCTTTTCCCATTTGTTTGATCTCTTTGGGATATAGCCCCAGAAGGGTATGCACATTTTTGTAGCCCTTTGGGCATAGTTCCAAATTGTTCTCCAAAATGGTTAGATCATTTCACAACTCCACCAACAATGTATTAGTGTTCCAGATTTCCCACATCTTCTCCAACATTTATCATTTTCCTGTTTTGTCATGTTGGCCAATCTGATAGGTGTGATGTGGTACCTCAGAGTTGTTCTGATTTGCATTTCTCTAAGAAATGCATAAATTCTTAAGGAGCAATTGATGTCTATCTACTAAAGGCCTCTCTTATGATCCCATGATCTCTACTTATCCGCTCCCCACCCCAAAAAGAACAGGGATAATTTTTTAAAAACACACAGACATATACACATGATAGTAATTTGTTGGTATAAAGGTGCTGTATGGGAGAGTGTATGTGAGAGTGTGTGTGAGTGTGTGTGTGTGTGTGTGTGTGTGTGTGTGTGTGTGTTAGAGAGACAGAGACAGAAACAGAGACAGAGAGAGAAAGAAAGAAAGGGATGACATAATTGGAAAAACTAAATAAGGAAAAAAGTTGAACCTGCATAGAAATTTGGTTTCCAAGGGAGATGGGCTGAGAAGCGAATCTGGCCACTTTAGCAGATACATCCTTATAGTGGAGAAATGTGACTCATCATACCAAGCAAGCTTGAGTGAATCATCCCTTTCAGACCTTCACCCTCTTCTGATCTCATTCTGTATACCCACCAAATGACTTTTTAAATCTTAATTCAGTTCCTTAAGTAGATTTTCCTACTGGAAAGAGAAAGCAGTTTGTAAATGTTAAGAATGAATATTTGGGCTGCTTCACATTTTATATTCCTAATTATAAGTTATATTCCTAATTACAAATTAATAAATTCTAGTGTCAGTCGATCTTTTATGCATTTGCAAAGCATGTGCTAGTTTTCCCTGAACATATGCAACTCTAACTAAGATGGATAGTTAAAAGGCCAGACCCTGAACAGAAGAAGTAATGAACTTTGGAGCCTGGCCAAAAATAGTTTTATGGGAGGAATTCTTAACCTTATTTTTCTCATAGACCCCTTGAACAGTCTGGTGAAGCCTATGAGCCCCTTTCAAGTATAATGTTTCTAAATGCATAAAATTAAAAAAATAGGGTTACAGAGAAAACAAATCACACAGAAATAGTTATCAAAATATTTAAAAAACAAATTCAAAGACCCTACGTTAAAAACTCTTGCACTTCAGAAAAGCCCTCTTTTAAATTTTTTTAAATTACCAAAAAAGACAATAAAAATCTTGATTTCAAATCATATTATAAACAAGAGTTTCCTACTATTTTTCTCCATTGAGGACAGTAGAACCAGAAGACTCGGATGCTACCGTCACAAGTCCTGAAGTGCTTACAGAGAAAATAGAAATGACACTCAAGAGAACAAAGACCAGAAAGGCAGCCAAATTAAATCAAGTATATTTATAGGAGATTGAAGCTGGAGGTGATATAACTGTGAGATCTCTGGGGGTCTACATAAGGTATGTAAAGAAAGGGAAGAAAGCAAAGGGGTGGGAAAAAATTTCAGATCTTACTGATAACAAAAAAGCTGATCAAGAGGATATCAATAATCATTAACCTGATCTATAAGTGAATGAATAAGGGTATGTGTAAGAAACAAACAGGCTTTCAAAAAGATTCAAAATTGGGCCACATCTTTACCATCTCACAGCTGAATGAGACATATAGAATACAAGGTCCCATTGTACTTATTGGTTGTTGATTACCAAAAACACCCCCAAAAAACAAAAAACTTTTACTTTGGTAGAAGGAAATGCTACCACGTAAGCTATTTTACAACAAAGTACTTCCCACCCATACATCACAATCCCCTGAGATTCTTTAAAGTACATAAAAACAGAAATAATCCGGCTCAATGATCTGATAATATGCATAACGGGAAACCAAAACCAGGGAGATATATTGGGAGAATGCCAAAAGTCTTCTCCACTGTGATGAGGGAGATCTAGCACAGAGACCAGGTGATCTTCCAGCTGCTCCTACTTGCAGACGACATTGGGCTAAATGTATCAAGCCCCAAGACACTGCAGGAGCTTCCTTGGAAGAGGCCTGTAATCATTCAAAGGAGTTTGGTTTGTCCCTCCACACAAGACACACCAAACGGTGAAGATGTCTATTACCCAAGTCTCAGCATGCATACTTGAATGGACTTCCAACAGAGCCTGTCCAACAGCATGCATATCTGGCACAGACGGTACAAATGGACAATGAGCTATGTCCAGAGTTGAAAAGGCTTTGAGAGGAGTGTGGGCTGAATAGCTTTGGGGAAATTACAAAGCATTGTTACCAACACCAAGTTTCTCATAACAGCAAAGTCTCGTCTTTTCAATACAAAATTTTTCTTGGTGTTGCTGAATGGTAGTAAGACCGTGAACACCACTGCTTCTGAAGAACCAAAGATAAAGATCATAGAAAGAGAAGGTCACAGAAAGGTGTACAATGGGTGTGAGTAGGTTGCAACATGGTACTGACAAGAGATTCCAAACAACAGGAGTGAAAGAGTGAAATATGATAGAAAGAGAAGATGGGTTGCTCATATGGCAAGAATGAGGTATGATGGGGCATTACCACAGAGCTCCAATGGTACCCTCGAGATGTTGAAGAAAAGTGAGGAAAGCCTCCAGCATGCTGGGTGGACCACCCATGGAAGACTTTTGGGAGGCCATGCATAAGAGCTGTACTGGATGGGCTGCATGGATGGTGGCGTTCTGTAAGGTGGGAATATCTGAACTGATGAGATTACAAGATAGATGTGATTACTGTATACCTGTGCACCTAAAAAAAAAAACAACCCAAACCCAGAACTCATTTGCATATCAGTAACTTCAAAAATGACCTTTTAGAAAATGACAAATGTTGGAGGGGCTTCAGGTGAAAACATGAGTACACTATTGGTAGAGTTCACAATCGGTATAGCCATTCTGTAAAGCAATTTGGAATTAAGCCTCTAATGTCATTAAACTGTATATACCCTTTGACCCACTGATACCACTACTGGGCATATATCCTAAAGAGATCAAAGAAAGAAAAAAAGGACCCATATGTTCAAAAAAATTTATGATAGCTTTTTTCATAGTAGCCCCAAACTGGAAACTAAAGAGGTGCCCACTGCGAAACAAATTATGGTGTCTGAACATGATGGAATGTTATCGTGTCACAAGAAATTATAAAATGGAGTTTTAGAGATAACTGGTAAGACTATGTGAATTGATGCAGAGTAAAGTGAGCAGAATCAGGGAAATAACTCATACAATGATAACAAGGCTATAAAGACAAATAACTCTGAATGACTTAAGAATTCTGATCAATGATAAACGACTATTCCAGAGGTCTAACGATGAAGCACCTCCTGCTCAAAATGCAGAAAAAGACACGTATTATTGGACATGGCCAATGAAGGAATCTGCTTTGCCTGACTATACATATTTGTTATGATAGTTTTATTTTTTCTTTTTCTCTGTTTAGTTGAAGGGGAAGGGCAGGGGGTAGGAGAGAATAAATGCTTGTTAATTAATAAATAAATGTTAAAATGATCTCTTTTAGATTTATATAGTTCTTTAAGATCTGAAGATCTCTGAAGCTCTTCCAGGTCCTGGAGGCTTTGAAGGGCTCTATCATTGATGTGTGGTAAAGTAAAAGTTTTGAGCCAAAATACCTTGATAGACTAAGAAGCTTCTAAAAAACTTACTGGACAACTACTATTGCAGTCAGAAAAGGAAGAATACAGGGGAGAAAATGCCAGAAAAACAAACATGGAAGGAATAATAAAATAGCAAAATGAATGTTGATGAAACCAAGGATGAGGACAGTTGATGTCTCTTTGACCCTTTGGGACTATGAAAATGATTTGCAGGCATTATCTCCTTTGATCCTCCCAACAACCTTGTGAGGTGGTTAGGACAAGTACTATTCATTCCATTTTATAAACATGTAAACTGAGTATCAAGAAACAAAAGTAACTTGCCTGAAGAACAATGGACTAGGAGTCTCCTGACCTAGGTTGCGTCTCAGTGGCTCTACTGCCACTAAATGGGGGACTTTGGGCCAGTCACTTCTTTGGGCCTCAGCTTCTTAATTTTCAAAATGAGTGGGGTAGTCTAGTCAGTCCCTAAAGCCCCCTTCTCTAACATTCCTGAGGACTCATAAGACAAATGGAGCTCGATGTTCTTACCATTATTTCATAAGTGTGATCACTTTGATGCTTCTTGTACTCAAATCCTCGGGTGAAGCACTGTAAAACAGAGAAAACAAGTGACTCACAAGCTTTTCCAAGTGCTTCTTTACAGGTTAGAGAAAGATAATTTTTTTTTTCATATTTGAGTTCTTAAGATAGGATGGGGGTAGGGACCTGAACCTGTGAATTCACTGGATATAGAGAACTTCCATGAGAGGAAATACTCTCTACCATAGCAGGTAGGTACCTTCTCTACAAGGTAGGATCTTCAAGAGCTGCCTAGAGCATTGGAGGTTAAGTAGCTAGCCCTAAGTGACCCATCCCCACATATGTATAAGAGGAAAGATTTGAATTCAGGCCTTTCTAGCTTCAAGGCCAGCTCTCTCTCCATTACGATACACTGCATCTCAGTTCTTGTGATTATAAAAACTGTTTTCAAAGCCTTTTGTTTGTAGCTTCGATCAAACAGGGCACTGGCTACCACAGGCACTGATGGAGTGGCCCTCAATAGAAGGATAAAACCAACAGCCTTAACATCGGGCTTTTGTCTGCATCTCTCCATACTGATCTGACTCCTTCTGCCTGTCTGGACTAACCCAGTCATGCACTGTCATGTCTGCTATCCAAGTTTCACTGCCATCAGGTTAAGACAGAAAGCAGTATCTCAGATTATATCAAGGTCAGCAATTCTTCCCCCTGGGGTGTATTCGCTATCTCAGTGCTTTAATGTTCCCAACCAAAGCAATGTGAAGAGTGCCAAGGCACAGAAAGAAAGAGTCTGTATGGACCAAAATATTCACAGCAGAGCATTTGGGTGCAGCAGAAATAGAGGTAGGAATGCCACCCATGGTTTCGTTGGTATAGGGAATTCCCTTCTACCAGCACAGGTCAGAACTTTCTCTGTGACTTAAAGCCTTAGAGATTGGCCAAGAGCAGAGAGGTTATCTAGGTTCACACAGCCAGTACGTGTCATAGGTGAGACCTGAACCTGGATCTTTCTGTCTTCAAGGCCAGCTCTCTATCTATTAATCATAAACCCTTTGATGTAGGAAAAAAAACAAACACAAAACCAAAAACAAAACAAAAGCCAGACACAATGACAAGGGAGTGGTTGAACAGACTGTAGTACATGGAATACTAGTGAATCATTAGAACCTACCAATGGAAGGAATTCAGAGAACCTGGAAAAATTTCTCTAATTGAAGAGCAAAGCAAGCAAGGAAGAAAATACACTATAACTAAGGAAAGAAGGAAACAAAACACACTATAATTAAGATATAAATGAAAAGAACACTTAAAAAAAAAGGCAAATCCAGTATACATTGTAATAACCATCACTGGCCCTGAAAGAAATGAGGAAATGTACTACTCCTCGTTTTCTGAAGGAATGGGGGTCTACAGGGTAGAATGTCGCATACCCCATTGCACATGGTCACTCTGTAGGTTGGTTTTGCTTAAATTTTTTCTCTATATAAAGAAGGATTCCTTGGATGGAGAATATATCTAGAAAAGATCATGATGTGAAAATAAATAGCATCAATACAACTTAGTATTTAAAAGGAATAAATAAACAAGGGGAGAAAGGGACAAGTATTAAGGTAAAAGGGAGAACAACACCTACCATGTTTGCTCCCAAAACATGATCCAAAACACCAGAACCCAGAAGACCTGAGTTCAAATCTGCCCTCAGTCACTTTCTAGCTGTGTGACCCTGGGCAAGTGACTTAACCTCTGTTTACCTCTGTTTCTTCATCTGTAAAATGGGAACAATAATAGCACCTACCTCC